TCCTGGGAACCTGGGTATGGACCTGCCAGCACATTCCACCTGGCCAGTATTTAAAGTTTGCTTCAGATTTGGCTTTAAATTATGGTAGTGGTCTTACTCTCAATCTGTTGGATTAACACAGGGTTTCCTCTGTGTAGCTTTGGCTGTCCTGGAACTGGCTCTGTAGATCAGGCTGACCTTGAACCTACAGAGATCTGCCTGCCCCTGCCTCCCAGATGCTGGTTGAGTGCCCAGCTGCCTTCTTCATCAAGCTATATCCTGGAAAGCTGTACACATCTGACTAGAGCCCAGAGTTTAAAATGGGATGTTCAGGGAGGCGTCATTCAAAAAGTGAATAGATGATCAGACTCCTCAAGGGCTCAAAGGAGGGAGGTGCCACAGTGGAAACCAGGAAAAGAGCATCCAGAAGACCTGGTGAGATGGGTGGGTTAGACACTGGCCAGGAGGCCTGATAGCCCGAGTTTGATCCCCAGAACCCACACAATGGAAGGAGAGAGCTGATGCACCCAAAATGTTCTCTGATCTTCTTACACACACATACCATGATTCACACACACACACACACACACACACACACACACACACACACTACATGTGATTTCTTTTAAAAATCCATGGCCTGCCTCTGAAGTCCATGCATCCAAGTTCATCACCTTTTATTGCAACTCATCCTCAACTCTTGTTAACTTCCAAACTGTAATGGTTAGTTTTATATCAACTTGACACAAGCTAGAATCATCAGAAAAGAGAAAGGCTCAATTGAGAAAAACCTTTATGGATCAGGCTGTAGGCAAGCCTATAGGGCATTTTCTTAATTAGTGATAGACATTGTGGATGGTGCTATCCCTGGACTTGTGATCCTGGATTCTGTAAGAAAGCAGGCTGAGCAAGCCATGAGGAGCAAGCCAGTAAGCAGCATCCTTCCACGGCCTCTACATCAGCTCCTGCCTCCAGGTTCCTGCCCTTTATGAATTTCTGCCCTCAGTACTTTTGATGATGAACTTTAAATGGAACTGTGAGTGAACTAAACCCCTTCCTCCTAAGTTGCTTTGGACATGGTGTTTCATCACAGCAATAGTGACCCTAGCGAAAACAGCATGTGAGGCAATGGATCTTAGAGGAGAACCTACTACCAACACTTTACTGTAGAGGGAGCTGTTCCAGCTTTGCCCTGGAAGTACCACCCCCATTGAGGCTTCCAGCAACTGTCAGGCCTACGAGGTGGGGCCGAGAGAGGAGCCCTTCAGACCCGAGATCCGGATGGGCCAGCTCTCTTGGTTCCTGGATCCTGGACGCTGGAGGTAGATCGAGCAGAGTTCTCCAGAGAACACCGCTGGACTGCACTACACCTTTCCCAGACCCTGTAACCTATCCCTTAGCTTGTTAGTTACCCCAGAAAATAAACCTCCCTTTTAACTAGGTCGAGTTGCCGTAATACTTCCATCAGTACTTTACTAAAACGGTGGCATTCCTAAATCTAGATACACTCTAAAAACAGCTTTCACCCTTGTCGAAGTCATTCCTCTTTGCAACAGAAAACCACAACCAGTCACAATGCAGAGAGCAAGTGGCTGTGGAGTGTCCAGCTCTAAACACACCTATAACACAACCACTGCACTTGTAAGGCTTAGGGAACGTGGAGGAAGAGGGGCAGAAGGATTGTAAGGGCTGGAGTATGGAGAAAGGTTCTGTGAGATTGTACATCCTAGACATGACTTGTGATACCACGATAATATGGCTACCTAAACAAGACCTGACTAATGACAACACCAGTGGATGTGCTAACACGGAGGTGGCAGGGCTGGGAATCTCACGGGGCCTCAACCCTAGACAAATAACTACAGGCAACCAAGGAAGGCTGAGAGCAGGAGAAATAGTCTTCCCCGGGAATGAGCTCCATTATTCAGGTCTTGTTTAGGTAGCCATATTATCGTGGTATCACAAGTCATTTCTAGGATGTTCAATCTCACAGAACCTTTCTCCATACTCTAGCTCCTAACTGGCTAGTCAAAATCATGTGATCAGCCCTGAACTCATATACAAGCAACACTAGATTGAGCAAGGTGTGTGTGTGTGTGTGTGTGTGTGTGTGTGTGTGTGTGTGTGTGTGTGTATAAAACAATAGTAAAAGAAAAAGAGGTCACTGTTAGTGGAGGAAATGGGGGACACATGGGAGGGGCTGAAGGGAAGAAAGGAAGGGAAATTATTATTATATATAATAAACACACACATAACACACACACACACATACACACACATGTTTTTCAGAACAGGATTCCTATATTGCCCTGGCTGTCCTGGAACTCACTCTGTAGACCAGGCTGGCCTCAGACTCACAGAGATCCACCTGCCTTTGCCTCCAAAGTACTGGGATCAAAGGCGTGCAACACCACCTGACATTTATTTTTAAAAACACCAGCCGAGGGCCATCAGTGCCCAGACACTGGGAGAATGGCTTCCTGTCCTATCTAAGGAGCAGAGTAGAGTTGGTGGAGCAGGATTAGAGTCCCCAAAGAGGGAGGGCTGCTTACTGCTGCCTCCCCCAAACTCAAAAGCACCTCCTATGTCTTATCTCCCCTGTATCACCAGCACAGTGGCTGACACCAGCAGGTGCCTAGTACAGATGAGTGAAACAGCTATGGTCTCACAGTTGCCCCCGTGCACAGAATATTGTGAGCTATATGTGTGGATGGCCAGCTTTGTCTGTAGGGCTGGCTTTGGATGGTTAGTGAGTTGGATAGTTTTATGAGAACTTGACATAAGCTAGAAACATCTTGAGAAGAGGGAACCTCAACTGAGAAATTGCTTCCATTAGATCTAGCTTACAGCCTGTATGGCATTTTCTTAATTAGTTATTGATGTGGGAGGGCCCAGCCCATGGTGGGTGATACCACTCTGGGAAGGTGGTCCTGGGTGCTATAAGAAAGCAGGCTGAACAAGCCAGAGAAAGCAAGCCAGTAAGTAGCTCTCCTTCACAGCCTCTGCATCAGTTCCTGCCTCCAGGTTCCTGCCCTGACTTACCTCAGTGATGGACTGTACCCGGAAGTGTAAGATTCCTCCACAACTTGCTTTTGGTCATGGTGCTTATCACAGCAGTCAACCTTTTAACCGAGGCAGCCAGGTTGCAGCTCCCAAGATGCAATGAGCTCTCTGAAGGCCAGGTTCCTCTGAACTGCCTCAGGAAGCTGTTGTCCCCAGCCCTGCCCACAAGGGAAGGCCTGCCCATCTGACACCTACCTGGTGTCCATGACTGAGGCTCTTTACAGAGATATGGGCCTGCACCACAACCCAGCTTCCAGGAAAATGAAGTTGACCATTTAGTCAAACGGTCTCTATCATGGCGGTCAGGTGCTGGGCTCGATATCCTCCTCAGTTGTGTATCCCTGAATGGGACCTACACTGAGGCTGGCTGCTGAGGTCTTATGAGCCAGTAGGCTGGTCCTTCGCTCTACAGGAAGCTACGGCCTGCTCTGGGCTCCCTCTGACCTCCCAGCTGGCTTAGGCAAGCCAATCCCAGGTCTGGCTGGCAGGTCTGGTTTTGCCACACACTCACCAACCCTCAGGTCTCTCAAACGATCACCTGCTGTTTTGCCTCAGTGCTACCAGGTACCCCCAACTAAACACCCCCAACCCCAGGCCCCTCTACAGGGGGTTGATCACCGCTCTCCCATCTTCTTGTAGTAGCAGAGTTTTCTTGTACTTTCCTGTGTTGAGAAGTGACATCATCTATTTTATTTTTTGAATGTTCTCAGACAAGAGAAAGGAGGAGAGAGAAATAGTGAATACGGAGGTGGGGGGGCTCTAAGTATCCTTGTGGGAGCAAGAATGTACACTAGTTCATTTTTGGGAAATACACAATGTGTCTATTGTTGGCAGCTGGTGATAAAGCACATTCCGCTCACACTGTGGGATTTCGAATCCGCTAGAAAATATTAAATGTCTCCAATGTTCTTAAGATAGCTTTTTGCAACAGGGTCTCACTATGTAGCCCAGGTTGGCCCAAACTCACAGTCCTCTTGCCTGATTTGCCCCAGGGCTTGTTTTACAGGTTTTCACCACCGCTCCTGGGGATGCTCAATGTGGGGGTCATGGAAAAAGCAGGGTGCAGACGGGCATTTTTATTGTGTGCTTGAAAGGACATGCTGTAGGCCCAAGTTTCTGCTTGGATGTGCACAGAGCTTGCTTGGGGGTGTCTCTGCGCATCCCACGGGGTCTGGGGAGAGGTTGGGGGTAGACTTTCAAATAGGTGTGTGGGGGAGTGAAAATATGCTTTTGAAGTTTGGCTTGCCCTGAAAACACAGTAAGTTGGGGTTTAAAAGCTGAAGGGAACAGAGACTGCGGGGATGATGACGTTGTCCCCCTTACAGCCTTCTTAGATGTCACCCAGTGTGAGCACCAAATAGCATGCATGCCGTTTAGCCTGAGAAGGGACATTTCACCCATCCTGGGCCCAGCCAGCCCGCCTCCTCCAGGCTCAGCCTAGCAACCACAGCAGAAAAAAAGCAGAGAGGCTTGTTTTGTGGTGCCACCTCTCCTGACCTGATACCGTCTGCACTGAAGTCCACATCTCCACAGCACCTCAGAATGTGGCCTTGTTTGTAAATTAAAGTTGAGGACATTCTGACATCAGCCCACGTCCACTGTGTTGATAAAAGGGACACTGGAACACAGAGACACCCGCGAGGAGTACTACAGAAGTGTGAGGGCAGAAGTGGGTGGTACCCTCAAAGGCAGAGGGGCGTGGGTCAGACTCTCCCCGAGCATCAGAAGGCACCAGCCCTGTACACCTTCCTGTCACTCATGACTGCCAAAGCTGTGCAACGGGCTGCTACTCTTTAAACCATGCAGTCCCTGGCGGCTCGGCATCACAGCAGCGGTAAGAAACTCATACATGGTGTTGATTTAGAACTACTTAGCCCCCGAGGGAGTTCACACCTTACTGTCCCAGGCTCCAGGGTTCCTTTTGACCTCTGGAAGTTCCCACCCAGCTCAGTACTTACTGTCAGTGACCATTTTCACAGGGAACAAAGAGGAATGTGCCTTGGACATCATGGCTGAGAACCAACCGGTGTGCAAAGCTTGGCCTTAGCTGAAGGAGATTCTCGCCTGGGAAGTGACACAGTACTTAAGTGGGTGGTCTCCCACACCCACAGCCCTCCTCCACCCTGTGTGGCTGACAAGAGCTTGCATTTCCACTACATGGCCTATCCAGGTTTGGTGGGATCCACTGTCCCCCTCCTGAGTAAAGCTCAGCTGCCAGGATCCTCCTGTTTTTAGAACACACCAGCTTTGGTCTACCTGCGGCCTCTTGCCTAGCTGAAGTTGGGGATGGGGTAAGGGTGAGGGTGGAGGCTTCTCCCTTTAAATCCAGGCTCAGATGTCATCCTGGGAGACCTTCCTGCACCAGTGCATGTAATGACCTTTCATTTTCTTCTTTATGGGGTCAAGTGGTTACCACTTAAAAGGCTTTTATTGCCCATTTCTCCCAGAATGCAAGCTGCATGAAAACAAGGCCTGTGTTCCACCTGTCAGAGTTCCTGACCATGTCTTGGGCATCCTTCAAATAGAAATGAGTTGGTTTTCCTGTTTGCAGAGGCTCAGCCAGAGTTCCAAACCATCGCCAGGAGGGGCTGGCGTTGGAGCCCAGGGTTGTTTGCAGTTTGAGCCATCCCTGCCTCAGTCCCTTTGGAAGAGGAAACGCCACCCAGGAATCCAGCCTCCTAACACCCTGAACTCCTCCTACCACGCCATGGCCTGGGGCAAGAATGCAGCAACAAGGCAAAGGATGGGCGCTTAAATTAGGCCGGTCATAAAAAAAGTGGAAAGGAGCAAGGGGGGGCTCAGAGCCTTGCAAGGGGCCCAGCTAAGGTGCTGGATCTCGGGCCCGCGCCCCATGGCCACCCCGCCTGGAGCACCCACCAGCTGCGCGCACCCTGCTCGCGCACCCTGCTCGCTCCGAAGCCTCAGTCCGCAGTTCTCGAGTCTTCTGGTCCTGAACTGCGTTTACAACGCCAAGGCAACCATTCTCACAAGAGCTGTGATGTCACAAAGCCCCGCCCGGGCACACTTGGCGGCAGGCGCAGAGTCCTTGTGCAGGGCTGGTGCAGCTAAAGGGCAAAGGATACCGAGACCGGGAAGGAACAACGACCAGGAGCGGAGCCAAGTCCGCGTCGTTGCCGCCCGGACACAGGGTGTGTCCGCCCAGCGCAGCAGCCCCTCCCACCCCCAGATTCTCCTGCCCACCCTTAAGGAGCTTGCTGCAGCTGGGGCACACCCAACAGCCTGGCTCCTCGGGGAATATTTAGGGATCTTCGGAGTTGGGGCGGGAGTCTAGAGTCGTCCTCTAAAACAGGCCAGGAATGTGCCAAAGATAATCCCCCTTAGCTCCTGGCTCTACCCAGAGTCGCTGGCGACACCCGACACCCGTCGGGTGGAAAGATAGATCCTTGGCAGAAAGTGGCTTCCGGAGTTGGGTGGGTGGGGATCACCAAAGAGGACAGTATCCTGCAGGGCAGTCCGGCCACGGGGGAGTCAGGCAGAGTGTTGTGGGCCCTGCATGCGGTTTGTGCATAGGAGGGTTTTTTTGTGCAGCTGGTGTTAAATTACCCCTTGGAAGCAAGTGGCTCCCTGCACCCTGGTGCTGGAGGCCTTTGCACCATGGTCTAGAATCTCCAACTTTCTGTCCTCAGCTTCCTTTCACTCTGTCAGAAAAGCTGGACAAATCACACACACACACACACACACACACACACACACACACACACACACACACACACTGCACCAGATTTGAGGCTCAGCAAACCAAGAGATGCACTTATTAATTCAGCCATTCAAGCAAATATGTCAGGAATGGTTTGTCTTTTAAACCACGAGGCTTTTAGGAATCTAGAAAAACAAGCCACCCAAAAAGAAGAAGACAAATGAGGCTGCTCCCGGTCCTGGTGTCAGCACGCTTGTCCTGAGTCCCCCGTGAACCCTCACAGGGTGTTTCCTACACACCAGGTACTGCTCAATACACTTAACACAAATCACCATTTAGTGCTCACTACCACCCAGATTAATAGGTTCGCTTCTGAACCACCGCCACCCCCTCAGCATGAGGAACCAGTGTGAACCTCTGTTCCTGGAGGAAAGCCACACCTGTGTTAAACATTCCAAAGCCAACGTGATTGATAAAAACAGTGATTGTAGAGAGTTGGAATGCTGCAGGGCTGCTGACAGATTATCTTAGGTAATATAAGCCCTGGAAACCTTTTTGTTGTGTTTTTCGAGACAGGGTTTCCCTGTGTAATAGTCCTGATTGTCCTGGAACTGGCTTTGTAGACCAGGCTGGCCTTGAACACACAGAAATCAGCTTGCCTCTGCCTCCCAAGTGCTAGGATTAAAGGCATGCACCACCACTGCCCAGGGAAACAGCCATTTTTTATTGTTATGCTTTTTTTTTTTTTTTTGAGACAGGGTTTCTCGGTGTAGTTTTGGTACCTTTCCTGGATCTCACTCTGTAGACCAGGCTGGCCTCAAACTCACAGAGACCCGCCTGCCTCTGCCTCCCGAGTGCTGGGATTAAAGGCATGTGCCACCACTTGGCAAAGCAGCCATTTATTGATCACATCTGTGATTGATGGAACATTCTTGTGACTGTTAAATAATCCTTTTTGGAATGTTCAGACCCCTACCTTCCATCAGATAGCATCTGAGGCCTACAGCAGACCCCCAGCCCCCTTAGTTGTAACCTGAGTCTATGTTCCTCTGGGGTAGCCCCTCATATTTGGCTAAAAGTAAATTCTTTTTCCCTGTGAGACAGAGCTGGTTTCCTATCAACACCCGGGAGGGCAGTTAACCAGACACACCCTGACTCCCACCGGCCTCCTTCGTGATCTTATTCAAAACAATGACTGTGTAAGAGATCCCAGAAGCCTGAAAGTGTGTTTGGTAATGATGCTAAGTTCTCTGCTGTGACTCTTGGTGGTTCAAAGGGTTAGAAAGAAAATCACCTAGAAGATGTGGCCTGACATGGAAATTTAAAACGAATTTTTGTTTTTACTTAGTGCGGGGAGGCACACGTGTAGAGGACAATTTACAGGAGCTGAGTTTTCTCCTACCCTGTGGGTTCCTGGGCTCAAATTCAGGCCAGCAGGCTTCGTGACAAGTGTCTTTGCCTGCTGAGATATCTCTCCATCCCTGATTTGGAATTTTTTTTTTTTCAAGACACAGTTTCTCCATGTAGCTTTGGTGCCTGTCCTGGATCTCACTCTGTTGACCAGGCTGGCCTTGAACTCACAGAGATCCGCTTGCCTCTGCCTTCCGAGTGCTGGGATTAAAGATGTGTGCCACTGCCACCCGGCCTGGTTTGTAATTTTTAATCTTAGCCTAACATCATTTGCCGACAAAAAGCTTATTTCAAAAGTTAGATGGACTAAGGGGGTGATGGAAGGCTGGGCAGATGTGTGGTAAGGCCACCGCAGCTGTCCTTGCAGACCTCTCTGTGGGGGCCTGGATGCCCCTACAAAGTTCTTTTCAAAGATGTGTATGTCTAAAGTTTGAAAATTTTTCACAGTGAAATGATTTTGGAAAAACTAACATTCTTCCTAAAGGGGAGCTGACTTATTTCCCTCCTGGAAAGGTGTACCAGTCCATGGTCTTGAGGACAGAGAAGAGGAATGGCCTATAAGCAACTGCAAGAGAAGAAGGAATTGGGAACTCCCAGACCCCACCCCAAGAGGGCCAGGACACCAGGCATAGGATCAGGGAATCAGGAGAGAGCCCAAAACTGGCCACAAATGTATCCTGTCAGGGCCACCACTGACCTGCCGGTGGCTCTGGCTTCCATGGTAGGAGATTTGGCTTGGGGGAGGGGACACAGGACACCTCCACATGGAAAAGGTCTCACAGGTCTACCAAAATGGCAGGCAGTCTCCCACTACCTCCAAGGAGGGCAGATTTTGCATCTTCTCTATGATCCTGGTTTTGTCGCAGACAGACATTTCAGAAATTGCATGTCTTGGCGACTTCCTATGGGAGGATAGGGTGGGGTAGGGGAATGTTACCCTGCTGGCAAGTTCCTACCTGGTTCTCAGGGGCCACTTTGGAGTGGCCCAAATAAGCATGCCATTTCCCTTGGTTCACATGGAGACTAACCCTCCTAACAGGTGGTAGTGGCCCATATCTTGCTCTGGCCCATCATTACCTGCCTCCATCTATCAGACATTTCCTTGGTCTTCCTGCCTTCTGGTGACCTGCTAGGTCCAGTGGGTAGGAGAAGGGGAGCCAGCCATGTCCTGTCACTCTGTACCTTGTGGCATCTCTGGCTTCTCCAGCATCAGCTGCTCTGAGTCTCCCACAGCCCAGCCACCCCCTCTTCAGTCTTCACTGATCCCTCCAGTGTGAAAGTGATACCCTGTGTTAAACTCCCAGGGCACTGGTTTCCAAGTCAGGAGCCCAACACCCATTGGATGGAGGCAGAATAGCTTGGTGTCCAGAGGAGGAGTCTGTGGCATTCATCAGGGCTCATGCTAAGCTGTTCTGCATATGACTGTGCAACCTGGGGTAAGTTCTGGCTTGGTTTTCTCATCTCTAAAATGGGGATGATAAAAAGGGTGGGTCTTTAGCACAAAGACATCATCTAACAGGACCTCAAGTAAAGCTTATCTGCCAATACAATGTGATGCCATGGTCTGAGAGCTGTGTCTGGTTAAAGGAGGTCCCTGTGGCCAGGCGGTGGTGGTGCACGCCTTTAATCCCAGCACTCGGGAGGCAGAGGCAGGAGGATCTCTGTGAGTTCGAGGCCAGCCTGGTCTACAAAGTGAGTTCCTGGAAAGGCACAAAGCTACACAGAGAAACCCTGTCTTGAAAAACCAAAAAAAAAAAAAAAAAGGAGGTCCCAGTGTAAGCCTGCTGCATAGACTGACCTGACCTGCGGAGCATCCCAGCTTAGCCGCAGTTATTTCAATGAGGAAGCTAAGAATCAGAGACATGAAGTCATTTGCCCAAGGCTACACAGCTGATAGGGGGCAGACTGGGACTCTAGCCCAGCTTGTTAGTGAGAGCCCTGTGTCTCTTCCCCAAGCCGAAGAGAGGCAGGCTTTGCAGCTGGGTTGGGGAAAGCCTTGGGACTTCCAGTTGAAGATGAGCCTGTTCATCGCTCAGACAGCGTTCCTCCCCTGCCCCGCCTATGGTGGTCAGCCTCTCGGGCCTGACCTGTGCACCCTGGTGACTCTGGCACCCAGATATGCTGTTCTTCTCAGCCTACCTCCTGGATGTCTGGAAGCTTAATGGAACAGAACAGAAAATTCTCAGGACTTCCCCACTTCAGGACCAGAGTGCCACCTCCCAAAGGTCAAATGTCAAGTCCCAGAAAGCTCGTGTGGAGTTTCTTCCTGCTCAGAGGTTGTATGCTTTGGGATAAGGCTGTGCTTTGTGGCAAACTGGCGCTGCACGTGGGAGGCATGACTGCTGTCCGCGCCATCTGCGCTCGGCTGAAGACCTCACACACACCTCTTCTCTGTGTTTCAGAGGAAAACTGTGCAGGGCCTGAAAGAACCTGAGGCCACGCCACCCCACCTCACGTCCAGCACGTGTCCCGACCCCAGTGCTGGGATGGCCCTCTGATGCATACCCTGCTTGCTTTCCATGCCAAGCCAACTGACTAATGGAGTTGCTCTCCTGCCCGCTCAGACAGATCGTTCGATCAGACTCTGGGAAACAAACAGGCTGAGTTTTGCCATCCACACCCCAAGCAACAGAGCTGCTGTTCTCATGGGAATCACAACCTCTAAGTGGGTCTCTGAACCTAGAGTGAGATTCTGCTGGCTTTGGGCTCCAGCATGGGGTAGCTGGGGTAGCACCATTGTGACCAGTTTAAGGATAAATGGGCTCTAAACAGGCAGATGGGGAAGTTGAGGAGGATGCGGAGCAGAAAAGAGCAAGCCCAAGTCCAAGGAACACACATGCCTGGGGAGGGCTGGCTGGATGTTGGGGAAGGAGGTGGTTTGAATGAAAATGGTCAGCATATAGGCTCACAAGGGGTGGTACTATCAGGAGGTGTGGCCTTGTGGGAGTAGGTGTGGCCTTGTGGAAGGAAGTGGGTCTCTGGGAGTGGCCTTGGAGTTTCAGAAGCTTGTAGACTGAATTTTCTCTGGTCCTGCCTTGCCCAGCAGTCCAGACGAATCTCTACCAGCCACGGTCCCACGGCCACTTATAAAATAATTACTCAGAGACTTAATATTAATTACAAACTGTTTGGCCTTTGGCCCAGCTTATATTGGCTAGCTCTTTTAACTTAATTCAACCCATTCCTATTAATCTATGTATCGCCATGGGTTCCGTAGCTTTGCCTGTGTTGCGTTACATCTTGCTTCCCTGGGCAGCTCTTAGCGTCTCTCCTGACTCTGTCCTTCTACCTCTGTCTCTGCTTGGATTTCCTGCCTGCCTCTAAGCTGCCTTGCCATAGGCCAAAGCAGCTTTATTTATTAGCCAATGGGAGCAACACATATTCACAGCATACAGAAAGACATCCCACAGCAGAAGCCTAAGCCAGGCTTCCCACCATGATCATAATAGACTAAACCTCTGAACCTGAAAGCCAACCCCAGTTAAAAGTTTTCTTTAAGAATGACTATGGTTGACCAGGCACTGTTGGCATACGCCTTTAATCCCAGCACTTGGGAGGCAGAGGCAGGTGGATCTCAGTATTTTCAAGGCCAGCCTGGTCTACAGAGTGAGTTCCAGAACAGCCAGAACTGTTACACAGGGAAACCCTGACTTGAAAAAAGAAAGAAAAAAAAAAAAAAAAAGAGTGGCCATGGTCATGGTGTCTCTTCACAGCAACAGAAACCCTAACTAAAATGGGGAGCATGTGCTGAGGGCAGTGGCGAAGGGGAGGCAGGTGCTGACCAGGTCACAGTGGATGCAGTCCAGAGGCAACCAGAGGGTGGGCTTTCCCCGCTCTCCACAGAGCATAGGCTGACAAGGTCGCTGTCAGATACAACTTCACCTTCAGCTTCAGGAAGATTGGAGGAGAGGGCAGGACAAGCGTGGAGGAGAGGGTGGACAGCAATGGCCACTGCTGAGCAGGAAACACTAGTGACTTAGATGAAGTGGGAGGGAAAGGGGCGCTTGGTACTCATTTGGAAGGACAGGTGGGCTGGGGGCAGGGAAGGCGTGGTGCCCAGCTGGACTTGCTGCCATAGGGGAACTGGTGGAAGTGTGCAGAGGTGAGGAGTGTAGTGGACTCCCTGGCTCTAGAGCTCAGTCGTGTGAGGCCTGAGCCTGGATTCCCCCTGAGCTGACCCCTCCATGATGCCTGAACATGGAAGGATAGTGTTTATTATATTCTATTTGTTAATGCAGATAGGATCATTTCTAGAGTGATGAAAATGTTCTGGAAATAGATGGTGGTGACTTGCACAACTCCCTGACAGAGAGAGTGCACCTCACGTGGCATCGAGGGCTTTGCATGTGAAAAAAAGGCAAACTGTGTCTGCAGATGCTGAGGCATGCAGTGAGAGACACTGGGAAGACCTCAGAGGGTAGTCTTGGGGTCCCCCGGGGTGGGGAACAATGGGGGAGGAGATGAATGGCGACCACTATCTCAACAGTCTTGGCCATGGCACGCACCATTTTGCTGCCTTATGGGTGTTGCTGGCAGAGGTGGACCTGGGTCATATGTTCTTCCCTGAGCTCTGGACCAGACTGGGTTCTCTAAGTCAAACCAGTGACTACTTCAGAGGCAGAGAATCAAGGCTTGAGGCACAATGCAGTGGAGTGAGGAGGTTACGTGGTGGCCTTGAACAGAGGTGAGACTAACTCAGGAAGAGAAGGGAGAACGTGTAGGAAGGAGGAGAGGGAGGAGGAAGGCGAGATGGGGGATCTGATGGGAGGAAGAAGGGTGGGAGATTGGTAGCAGGCCCTGTGCCTGACGGCTCCTCCACAGCGCAGGGTGGCATAATCTCCACAAGGCTCATCACTGAGGGTGCCTTAACATTTTGATTTAAGAACTGTCTCTGCGC